CTCTCTCTCTCTCTCTCTCTCTCTCTCTCTCTCTCTCTCTCTCTCTCTCTCACACACACACACACACATGCACACACACACACACACACGTCAAAGAGTATCATGTTGAAAATCTGTCAAGCATAAGACTGCTAAGAATATGAGCTGATGCAGCTGTGTTTCATTAAAGGAGCTGAAAGGTGGCTTACATCAAAAATACTCATGATAAGTAAGGCCAAATTCCATTTGTCTTGACAGTGATTTTGGCTCAGTGGTTACAAAATTAGGCTTGTGCTGCTTTGCGGTACCAGGGGTTATATGTTAATCCATATTTCTTTTATACATGGGAAATGTAATTTTACATGTAGCACTAGCATGTACATTGTTATCAGGGTTACAGGATAGTGTCATCTGCTAAAACTGTAGACAAGGTTTTAAATATGATACCAAATAATATGATAATTTGAATCAGAATGAATTTTTTAAAACTTTTCTTCGTCTCCTAGACTTTTATATTGCATCTGTAAGTTTGCTTTAATGTTGTTATTTTGTTTGGCATAGGCTTTTTGAATAGAAATGGGGACAATATCTTCTATGGTTTTATTTTCTTGACTTTGACTTCACTTTGGTTACAGGAAGATACAAAATTCATGGACGAGGTTGCAGAGACAAGAAAAATTCTTTTACAGCTGCAGAATGTGGTAACTACACTGCCATGTGCCTCCTAATGCTTTGTAGTCCTCTAATGCTTATTATTACTTGTATCCACTGTGCTTATGGTGATGGCATTGAAAAACAAGGAAGCAGTGAAACAGTTACATTAAGGGTGTTATTTCTACAGGCCTTATAAAGCTCACTACCCTGCATGATTTAGATGTTAAAATAATATCTTCCTTGCAGACATAAGTTAACCAGTTAGTAGTAATGTTCAGGCATGGCATACTAACCTGGGAATGTGAAAGCTGTTTTGTTTCATTAATGCTATTATTGTTGTTTGGTACAGATGTTGGTGAGGTGCATTCAAGCTTGATGTTATAATATTTAAAACAAAAAGTAGCCTTTCTGTTGTCACCAGATAGCCTAAATGAGTAACATGTTGCTTGAATTTCTGTGTAAACTCTTAGACCTATACTACAAAATTGATTCACATTTGTGTATTCAGCTTTCTCAGTTTTGCAGTCTAAGCTTAGCCCAAGAACATTTTTGTGGAAGAGACCAATTTCTCATTCTCTGTTTATCTGTCTAGTTTTAGCAAGGTCAGGCTTAAATGCACCTTTTATAATGATTCATTCTGATAATATTCTCCTGACTCACTGATTATGCTTCCAGGAATGATTCATATTAATTGATTTCTTGTTAAAGAGAGGTCGGAGGGGTGGGGTACAGTTATGTGAAATCAAAAATAATGTTTATTCCTGTTTTAGTGTAGAAGGGATCTTAGATAAATGCCTAAGAGTGTTAACAATGGAGCTAGATGGAATAAACACTAACAGCATGATTAACTGTGATTGTCATTCATTTGTTATTGTATGTGTGTGATTTTTTTATGAAATGGACATCATTTCAGAATAAGCAGTATATATTACTGTAGATACTGTTATATTAAAAAGTACTTGTTGACAGAATGATCATTTATTAGTTTGTCTTGTTGTTAAGAGAACACTAGATATATAGATTATAAAATTCATTTTTTTTATGGGATGTGTGTCAAGATTTTGTATAGAAGCATTGTTATTAAGTACATCTCAAGTAAAATTGAAGATTAAAAATAAAGCAAAAGTATACCACAGAGAGAAAGTGTCATAAGGTCAAGTACAGAAACCCTTACATCTGTCATTAAAACGCATCTCTTTTATTTCAGCTTTTAAGTGGACAACCTGGAGATGAGGAAGAAGATTTGAATGAACCTCCACTAGAGGGAGCTAGTGAAAGGGAGCAACTGGTAAATTAGTTTGTTATGTTTTAATCTTTCATTAATGATTCAGTTTTTTAGGTAGGTCAATCCCTCATAAAATACATTTTTACATAAATGGGCATAACTAAAGACAAATTTGAACCCAATTCCTTGTTAGGTGCTCTTACTAACTTTAAGACACAAGAATTATTCTCATTATTCTATTTTAACACCAGATGATTAGAAAATATGCATCATTTGAGATTAAACGACCCTAAGTTTGTTGGACACTAATTATAAGAAAATTATGTAAACAATACATTTTTTGAATTTTTTTAAATGTGTAATCAGTATATTGAAATGTTTTGTTCTCGTATTTTAACAGGTTGTGTTAAGAAGCCGCCTTCAGCAAAGTACAGAGTTGTGTAATGACCTGAGAGAAGAGTTGTCCAAGTCCAAAAATGAATGTATGCAGCTCCAAGGGACAAAGGTAGGCTGTGTACCTTCATTGAGGGGAAGGCACTTATTGCTAGGACTGGAAAAAAGCAGTCTTTGGAATTTGGATTGCTCACATGTTGCTTTTGCTTGAATCCCTGATGAGATATACAGCAAAATTGAGTAGTTGGTGCTGGATGAAGACTTTAAAACTGAAATTTATAGGGAGGGTGGGTCTTGTCTTTAAAACTCGAATCTGTTTTCTTTGTAGATGCCTTTTGCAAATATTCCAAGTTGGTGTTTCATCTTTTTTAGTAGTTAAATAGTTTTATACAATGTTAAAAAGTAATCAGGGCTTCCAAGTGGTCACTCTGCTCAGACAAGTTAAGAAAAGGCTGTTTTTGTAAACATTTTTTTTTTTTTTTGCAATATTTTTCCATTTGGAACTTGACAGTGATGTTCAATAAGTTCTGGAACTTGATTATATTGCTATTATGCTTCATTTCTCAGGCTGGTCTACAGCAGCGAATGCAGGAACAGGAGACCACATTGCTGCAGCTGAAGGCAGAACTTCTAAGGCAGGGATTCACTCATCAGACTCTAGAAAATGAGAAGGTAGGTAACACCATTTTGACGGCACCTAGTTTCTCTAATGTCTAAGCAAATACAAAAATAACCACAAGCAAATGGCAACAAAATGTCTTACTATAAAAGTTAAAACTTGTAACAATACGTGTATGTGTATGCACAAGTGATGCATTGCTTAATATATCGTATGTATTGCTTGTAGGTTGACTACCAGAAAAAGCTCTCAGAAAAGGAGAAGCAAATCACAGATTTGAAGAGAGAGCTTATGCAGAGAGACAACTTAATTAGGCAGTTAGAGGTAAGATTTCAGTTTTCAAAAATCTGAACAGTCTGTACGTTTTTAAGCTAACGTCTTATTTTTCAGGGGTACCTTAAACAAATTCAAGTTGTAAATCAAAATAGGGGTATGTTCAGAGAATTGCACAGAAAATTAATATCATCATATAAATCAAGTAATATCATTTACATGTTTTATACAGTAGTTTAATAGTAAATATAGAACATGATTGATTTGTATTACAGTGGCAAGTCTTCAAAATTCAATATGTAAAATATGTCAATCTGTCTAAATTTGGCATTGTGGTAGTGACATATGTTACACCACTTATTATGCAATGGTAAGTTAGTCATTGTGTTAGTTGTTACACAACCCATTGTGTTTTTTCCAGGCTGACCTTCACCTCCAGCTGCAGGAGAAGGACAATGCCACCAGAGGCTTGAGAAATCAGATACAGGAACTCAATGACAAACTAATGGTGGTCGGGGAGACTGAGGTACACAGTACTGTATTTTTCCAGAACTTGAGAAAAAAATCGATCATTTATCAATCCGATATTGTGGTTGAGTTTTTGCAGTTTTGTGTGCCATCAATAGATGCCTCAATAGATGCCTCTGTGCCATCAATAGATGGCAGCACATGTGCTAGAGGGCTGTTCACAGATAAGAAAATCACATAAAAAGTGTATACTTAAATATTTAAAATTAATTTTTCTTTATTATTGCAATGCTTTTAACATTTAATGTTTAACTTCAACCCACTGGGTTGCAATTTTAATAAATCATATTATTAAATCTTTACCCGCTTTGTGTGAGATAGTTTCATAAAAGGTCAAGGTGAAGTTTTCAGTTACTTTCTGCTTGTCGTCCTCCAGTTATCCTTATCTGCGAGGGTTTCCAATCAGGATAGAAAAATGGCCAAACTTGAAGGTAAAATCATGGGGTCATCACATGACAGTTCAAGTTCAAGGCCATCTTCAGCAGGATCAAGGTCGTCATATAATGTAAGTCCAGGGGGGAAATGGTATATGTTAGAATAATAGCAACTAGAAAAGCACTCCGAGAGCGCAGACCCCTGCCAAGGCAGCGATTTTTTATTATTATTGATTATTGATTGATTATTGCTCCGGATCACCACCAAAAACTAATCACTTCTAAGTTAACCCATTTCCCACCTACCCTGAAAATTTCATCAAAATCGGTCCATAACGTTCTGAATTATGTTGATGACAAACACACAGACAGACAAACAGGGGTGAAAACATAACCTCCTTGGGGGAGGTAAATATATTCATTTTAATTTGTCACCTCAAACAGTTCTCACCTACAAGTAAAGTGATTTTCTCACAACATGTTTACATACTTTCCAAATGAAAAGTTACCTACTAGTAGTCTTTTAAAAGATTAGTAAAATGAGCCTATTGAAGCACATGTTTCAAATTTATGGAGTAATGTCCATGAATATTGTACCCTTGAGGAGCATTTTCTATTAAGTGCCTAGCTATTGGCATAACATGTGTAGCATTATTCTCAAATTATAAGTGAAGCGCCTCAAAGTAAATATCCTCTTGTCTCATAACAGCAAAATGGTGCCCCAGATGAACTCCAGGTGGTACGAGACTCGTTGAAGAGCATCCGTAGCAGTTTCCGTGGCAGCGACCCACAGCATCACACCATTGACACGCTGGAGACAGGGATAGCCACACTCATGGAAAAACTTAAACTTGCAGAGCAGTCAAATCAGCAGGTAAAGTGTAGGAATGCATCATGGAATATTATCATATCCTGTGACAGGGATGGAAAATACACTAATGGTGCCCATTGACCACAATTGGCAAGGTATACCCCAAACCTTCATCAGAATTATGATTTATTGACCCATTTTTAGGTCAATGCTTTTTAACACACTCTAAAGTATAGATAGAGACATGGGAATTTCAATTGTTATGGAAAAAGTGACAAATCAAGATCTTGTAAATGGGTCTGAAGATAGTAGTTTTCTAAATGGCCTTGGATGGGGTAACTATACATTGGTGATAATACAGTGGAATAATACAGTCATTTTATCATCATTTGATCTTTACTTTTTATATCATTGAATATAACTGTTTATCACTGTGTGGGAAACTGGTGGTTGGATTAATATTGACATATTACTCCTATTGGACCTGAGAAAAAAAAACTTATTATTATCAGAATTTCTACACAGTGGAGTGGAGTCTCAATTTAATACTCTTTTAATTTTTTTAATTTTTCAAACTTTCTCTTCACTTTTGTTTGGGTACAAATGATGTAAAAACTTCTCCTTACACATGCATAATTTTTTATACTGAGAACAATTCCTTTTAATCTACATACTAAAACTGCTTCATGGATTTTGATTAAAATTAATTTTTAACCACATCTTTATTTATTACCATGTTTTAATACTAACTTACATGCACTATTTGTTTTAGTTTGAGTTGTTTTAGTTTGCACAATTATTAACAAGCTTTTCTTTTACCTTTTTTTCCTTTATGCATCCTTATTTCACAGCTTCATCACATGAAGCCAAGAAGACATTCAGCACATGTGGTAGGTCTTTGGTGCTTTATCCTGTACATAGCCTAATTTGTATCATCTGTAACCTAGAGGTCTGCGGTTGTACTCAATATGCCTTCATTTGCCAAGTTAGTTTTTTTGTTAGATTACCTCTAGGGTTTTAGCAAGGGGCACTGTCAAAATCTACATCCCTTCGGGGACCCAGTCATTTTGATAAGAGCTGAGCAGACAACACTCAGCAGTGTTTTTTGCTTGATTTATTTGTGCCTTTTGATTGAAGATTTATTGAACGAAACCTATTATCTAATTGAAGACTTCAAGAAATTGTTCCTTCATTAGACCAAGACAACTGTAGACCCAAAATTGAATAAACAAAGTGCTTAATCATAATCTTTTAAACAGAACAGGATTGCATAGTTAGTGAGAGACAGTGATTGAGTTTAAAAAAAATTCTTGTACAATTATGCCAAATTATTCATGTCCTGACTGTGTTTTATGTCGCTTCTAATTCACTAATGTGGTGTGCTATTTCTGTGTAATGAACTGATTTGACATAACTCTTTAATACTTAAAATTGTTTTCAGTCAGTTCAAATCACATGATTGATTGGTTGACAAAAAACAGTTTCTCTTTCTCTAATTTTTGTTTTCTTCTGGTGAATAATCAGTATGAGGTAGGTATGATATGTAAATAAATGTAGTTTTTCAAAGCAAGCTTTTCATACATATCAGTTGTTTGCTAGGATGTATCATAACGTAGTAAACCAGTAAGTTGTCAGATTTTAGACCACAATCTTAACATACTTCTGTCTTACTTTCAGGTCGGAGATTCCCAGAAAAAAATTAACTACGACTCAACGGGCGACAAGAGGCGTTCCCCCATCACAGCCCTCCCTGGTTTTCCTGTACAGAGATTGGACAGCCCCAATATGAATGGAGACGTATTCACCAAAGTTTTGTATTTCACTGAAAGGACAGTGACACCTTTTATGAAGACAATAGGCAAAAGGTGAGAGAATAGCAGAGAGATTGTTTTGATTGATAAATTTTTTTTTCTGTTGACATAGTAGAAATGGGATATTTGGAAACTGTAAGAGATCTTCACATGGGTCACTGTTTCTTCATAACAAATACTGTTAGCTTGAATGTCAGATGCTTGCAGAATCACAGTTGCTATGAATATAGTTCATGTCTAACTTCATGAGTTTTCAGTGTCAGGACAAAGTGGTACACTAACACTAAAATGAAGAGAATTATGTTTGACTTTTTTTAGAAAACAGTATGCTCACTTACATCAAGAATTTCTAACAGAGAATCTTAAGTTTAATTACTTGTGTTGATATGGTAATACAATGAGTATTTGATCAAGTTTGTCTTTGTTTTGCTTTGTTTTAGACTTGGAGAGATTACACTCAGGGATTTCAGGGCATTATTTGACAGGCCAGGGAACTACAGGTTTCACTTCAAGGCTCTGGACCCAGAGTTTGGCACCGTGAAAGAAGAGGTGAGTGTTACATGGGTTTTAACACGTAGACAGTCTGATAGTAGGTTAACTCATGAAAGGAGCAAACCACTCTACCTCACAGGTAATAATAACAAATTTAATCCTTAAATCTGATTGAATTTTTTACCATCTTTATACAAGAGACAATGGGAAACCTATTTCATGCAGTTTGTCAGTTGTATCATTTGGCATTGTCAAAGACAAGGTTGGTGTTAGATTATATTTCTTGGACAGTTTGTAGAGTTTATTATTGAACTTTATGGCAGAATAGATAGGTGTTTGATTATGTTACCTTTTTAAAATTGATCTTCCTAAAAATCTACTGATATTTCTGATACAGTACTAGTAGATCAGGCCTGTGAGTATAGGAATTCATTGACAAAAATACTTGAAATGTATGTAAATTGATAGAACTGGCCATCTTGAAACTTTTTGCTTTATTGTGAATTTTTATATTTTACTGGTTAATTAAATTCTAATCTACTTCAGGTGACACATGATGATGACATCATTCCTGGCTGGGAGGGAAAAATAGTGGCCTGGATAGAAGAGGATCATGGGTAGTGGTGCTCTGCAGGGGGTACTGCCTGATTGGACAGTGGCACTAATAGGAGAGGAGAATGGGTAGTGGTGCTCTGCTGGGGGTACCATTTCCTTGGAGAGTTCCAGAATCTCTAAGCCAGGGCAAATATGTTGCATGCTGCAAAACATTGTGTATATGTATGCTTTACTTTTTCTTGGGCAGGAGAGAAAAAAAGAAAGTAGTGAAGGGAGATTGTTTCATGATGGATATTTAGAAATACCAATTGCAAGTACAAAGGAGGTAAAGAGGAAACCGAGTATTATGAGATCAAAAGAGTTCAGATCAAAAGTCAGGTGGTTGAGGTTTAATAATGAGACCAAGTGTCTAAGCCAGTCAAGATGCATTTCACAGAGAATTTTTAGGTCAAATTAACTTACTTTATCAGCCTTTAAATCAAGCTGTAACACCAAAAATTAACTTGTTTCAATATGCCACCAACATTTAATAGGGTCAAAGGTTTCGAAAGACTAAGACTGCTTTTGCTCAGTGGACTACAGGTAGCCAGGGGGAGCTGTCTCATAGCGGGGTGCAGACACACCTTAAACCAGGGGTATGTTGTCTCAGGCCAGTGGTTTCATAATATTTTCCCACCTGGCTCTTGCAAAGGCTTGACTACTAGTAATGACTTCCACAAATGTGATCACTGAAGCTTCCATTTCTAGCATGCTGTGCATATTGATGTGTTTTGATTATTCACGCTCATTTTTTTTTTTCATGGTTATGGTAATTGAAAACCTATCACATGGTGACCTGATACAATAATTTAGACAGGTGTCGTGTTTGCTTTCAGTGGAAAGTTGCTGTAATGCAGCTGTAAGTCCCATTAATATTCCATGACAAGTGGACAGAGACCACCAAAAGTAATGGTAAATGTGATCTTGTTGTAACTTAGCAAACTCACCAAAAGGGGCCAAAGTGGTGGTGATTTTCGTAAATAGAAAATTATGATCTAAGGTCAACAAAACCAAATGGCTTTTTGTTGAAATGACCACTTCTCTGGGACTGTTATTTGTAGCTATAGTTACTGAAGAAAAACATAAAGGCACACAGTGAGAATTAAACCTTGATATTGCATGAAACTTAATTTTCTGGAAATTTCACATTATAATTCACCTATGATCCCAAAACCTGTTTTGGTTACTCGCGCTATATGGATGGGGACTGGTGAATTTCACTTATGGTGGAAAAATATCATATGTAAAAACTTTGTTATGGCTTTATAAATCGTAATTTTCTTGAATAATTAAGATAGGTACCTCAGTGATTTGAGGTGAAATTTACCAGATTTGTTCTTTGCTATAGAAAGAATTAAGTGCAATGTATGCCTTTAAACATGTTAATATGAGACTACCATTACTGATAGCTTTATTGAACCAATACGAAACTATGGGTAAGTTGCTTGACTTGATTCAGTATTAAATGTACTTGGGTGTAATATTTAGTCAATATTAAATTATGTAATGGATAAGTTATTGAGATTTTGATACGAACATATCTTAATGGCCTTGTGAGTCATGTTATATTAAGGGATCAGACTTAAATTTAATGAGAAATAATACCTGAAATTGTTTGTTTACCTCAAAGATTGATTTTATAATTTCTTCATTTATTTATTGAATTTTTATTGATGTATAACCTGTCTCTATTCAACTCAATTTTTTTAAGGCATTATTGATCAACTTCATGTTTCTTTTTTGTTTAAAAGGTGGCTGAATTTATGAAACACTGGGTGTAAACTAATTATTAATTATTATAAATTAATAATTTCATGTTTTGTAATCCTATTCACCCACCAAATGTGTGGGAGATATCACCAGTCAGTAAAGACTTCCTTATCTGACATAAAATTGAGAAATGGCACTTGGCCATTTAGTTTAATTTTTTGTGTGAAAGCAAATTTTTATACATTGAGTTTTGTGTGTACTTGGCAACAGACTAACAGCTAGAATTGGTTGTCAAAAATGCTCAAAACACTAGAAATGTGGTGTTGTTTTGTCAAACTTATACCTCACCAGCCAATAATTTGTATGCTTAGACAGCTTAGTCAATAGGTGTGGCAGTATCATCCTCCCCCTCTTCTCATTTGGTCAGGTGTAAAAAGAAGAAATATTAACTATTAAAATCTGTTCATTTCTCTATTTATTGACAGTTATGTCTAATTTTCTATTGAAATAGCATAACTTCTAATGTTAGTATACAACAATTCTCAAAACACTACAGTGCATCCTTCTCTTTCCAAGATGTCTTGTTCCTGTACATGTGAACATTTTCACAGAGCTTGCTGTTTAAGTGTCTAATATGTCAAGACGTATATGTGGTCAATATCAAGTGAATATAAACAACATATATTTTTATTGACATGTTAGAAAATTTGCCAAGGGGTTTATTTTCTATTCTTCAAATGAAGTAAAATAAGTATTTTGCTTATAATGGCCCATTTTGATGTCAATAACTCTTCCCAGCTTTTTGTCTCTTATTTGTGCCAGGCCTCCTTATTGTGTTCTTATTAGTATTCTTAATATTTATACTTGTTGTTAAAATCTGCTTTTTTGAAATGACATGCTTTCTTTACTGTTAATTTTTGGTACTCAGCTAATTTTGTGGCACCATTATTGAATGTGATAATAATTATTTCTACTGGAAACCTTTGATGCTGTTTAGATCAAATTGTTGTAGTTAGAGCTGGACACCAAAAATATTGACTGCATATATGCATGAATAGTGAACAAAGCTGTATGTCCTTAGGTCTTCACCATTTTTTTTTTTTACTTATCAAAGTATCTGCATATGCCAATTTAAGTACTTTTTTATGCATTTAATGAATAAAAGTTGTGTAAAATTTATTTTTTTCAAATAGACTAGGGATTCATTAATTATTTTTTCAGAAATATTAATCAAAATACAGGCAAGAATGCAAGATTAAGTGAATCTTGCCAAATCTCTCATTATGCAGACCTCATTTGTTTAGATTATGCATATTGTATGAATTAATGTGAAATTGTTACATCATGTAATGTATATTAGGCATTTAATTTTGTTGTAATAAATTCTGTGAGCAAGTGAACCTAATTCCTGCTATTTTTAATAACCTCTGAAAATATTACAAAAAAAAACCACTTGAAATGAAAATTTTCTTTGAAATAATTCCTAACTCTGCTTGAAATATACATAGTTTATTCTTACAAAAGTTTTTTTTATAAACTTGTCCACTGTTTCCACAAAGCTGTCTACAGTTAAAATGTTTTAATCATTAAAAAAATTTAAATCTATTTCTAGCAATTTATCTCTTCTCCTGGAATAAAGAATTACCAGAGAAGACATGTTAATACAAGCAAAGCAGTTAGATCCTGTATAAACTGACTGAGAGTACCTAGTTAATAAACAAAACAATGTACAAAATCTCAGTGATATTTGAAATAATAAACATAAAAAGCTTTTGGAACTGAGGAATGGATTAAGTACGTGTTACGTGGATAAAAGCAGATACAACAAAATTCTTAAAGCTAAGGAACAAGAGATCAGTTAATTTGATCACTTTCTCATTCCAGCTGAAGACTACTAATTAGTGACAATAAAAATGCACCTTTACAGTAAAACCAGAATGAATTGGATGCAATTTAGACACCTTATTTTCACATTCCTTTTTTTCTAATTCAAAAAACTTCCCATTATCATGCTCTAAAAAGCTCTATGAATCACTAAAAGTGACACCAACAAAGGTACTAAAATGAACACATAGGCACAAATGCACATTCATGTTCATACTGCTAAATGTGAACTCGATAGTGATTGAATGTGTTCACTACAGCAAGTCAAAATTACATTATCTAATATTCAAAAGTCAGGAACCAAATTCTGTTTTAAAAATTAATGTCATCGAGCAGACAGCAGATATGTTTGTTAAGGAGTTTACTGAAACTGACAATAAATGCAAATACCACTGTAAAAGTTAAATTTCTGCTTTAAAATTCTTAGGTCACAAATAATGAAAGAAACATCAAGAACTCATGATACTGGTACCAACTAATCCATAAGCTGTCTAAATACTCCTTTATCACATGTTATTTAAGCCGTATAGAGGCATCATTTACTGAAGCTAAAACGGCACTCCTTGATAAATTTGAAAATATCAAAATGGCTGCCTACATCTAATCATCTAGATTTAGTCGTGAACACGTGCATAATTTACTATATAAATGTAATATTACATTGCAGACAGAAGATATGCTTTTGCCATGGTCCCATGACAGAGTTAATTGCAAAGTAAACAGTTATTTCGCGCCAGAACAAAACTGCCTACACGTACAAGTTCTGTTGTTACATTTGAACCAAGTATTGTCACCCATTCAGCTAAGGTCACACACAAACTGCACTCAGACACGTTATCATCAGACCAGGGGTCCTGTTTCACAAAACTGTCATAGACAACAACTCATTACAAGGCTGTTTTTATAACCAGGTCAATTTAGGCATTTCTTCCAACCACAGTTGCCAGCTTATTAATTATGGTATCAAGAAACCTTCCCCATATTAGACCGCCATGATGAGACCTCATGTTATTAAAATGTTGACAAAAGTGAGACCTACTTTCAGTCTAAAGTAAACCTGTCTGAATACATCACAACATGACCTTCCTCATTTGAACAAGTCTGTACAACTTAAAGATACATATTTAACTACTTTGGCATTAATCCACACTAGTGAGAAATGGCCTACTGGTACTTACTGCACCTTGCATATCTAAACAACACACACAAAGAGTCAGAACCTATGAAGACACACATTTTATAATACTGGACATGATGATGGTTACAAAGGCTGTAAATGCATCAGGTATTCCACAATTCCTGTGGGGGATATGGTGGGACAAAAAGGTCATCATCCATCCATCAACACTCATAAAACTGTTTGAAATGATATTCTGTTGTATGCAATTCGGGAATTGGAAAGAAATGTTTATATCTGTCTTTGGGAGCAGGCTGTGTAAGGGGGGGGGGGGGGAAATAACCTTATGACACTGGATCAGTTAAATACCATACAACAGGCACTGATCCAAATTCACTAACATGGCAGTCTTTAAAATGCGCCTGCTTGCATCATAATAAATCCAAATATTAAATTGTACACTTGATGTCATTAACAGTAAGATATTGTAACTTACACACTGGGTGTATAATGCAACTAAAACCCCTCATATGGCAAGTGTATATTAACAGAGGTTCTACCTATACACAGAACGTGCATACAGAGGTGTATATCTCATAAATATTGTTTATACACGGCTTTTGCTCTTTTTGTTGCAAGTGAAATCTTGTGCCATAGACTATTGTAACAGCTCTTAATCTGTCCAGTGTTCCACTCAGTCACGTCTGAGAACTGCTGTGTTTCCTCTTCAGGTCTCTTAAGTAACCAAAATGCTTTATAATGGACAGAATGTGAATCTGGGTGGGGCCCACATATACCTCTCATACATAATACCACTTTCTTGCATGTAAAATATTTCTAATTTGCATGTTTAATTATAGAAGGCATTTCTCCCATTCCACAAAGTGCAGTATGCAGCTAAGTTTTCTTGGTAGACGCCTGTGATATACTCTCCACCATAATATTTTCTCTCAACAGATGTTATCACTATAAATGACTGTGGCATAATCTCCAGCTCAATGTTTTGTTTTCTCAATAGATGTCAGCACTACATGCAGCCCTTAGACAGATGTCTCAGAATTCAACCTAAGGACAAACTTGTTGTTCTTGGGATTAATTACCTCCTCAGTGATACTAAAATGGGGAATCTTGGTCACTTTACACAGAAGGGAAACGTCCCCTTGGCGTAAGTTAAACAGAGTTCCGTGCTCAGCAGCACGACTGAGTAGAGAGTCACATACAAGAACCCATGGCTGAGTGGGTTTATAGTCCTTGGGGTTGTGAACAACAGCCCCTTGTGTGAGATATTTCTCCATGAAAGCACGCGGGCTCATATCGTGGCTGATACAGTCTGCTAAATGCTCCAGTATTCCCTCCATTGAGTAGCGTGGCTGCTGTCGCGTGATGCGTAAGTACTTCTGTAGGGCACGCGCCATTGAGGGGAAAATGGCTTGTGCTGCCTCTTGTGGATCCATAGGAATTGCTGGACCTGAAGTAAAAAAAAAAAAAGAAGGAACTTGAAATGTAGCTGCTGACCTGATAATGTTTGATCAAACAAAGAACAGATATTATAAAAGTGCCTTAACAGAACAAAACTCTAATAGAAATAAGGTGTACTTGACACAACAATTTTACTCACACAGCTAGTTACAAATCAACATGGAGATTTTTTTTTCAAATTGGCTGTAAATCTAAATTTATGCAATCCCATTTTCAGGCATTGTTATGTATATCTAAGTACCTGCTTCGTCCTGCATTCTCTTGATATGAGTAAATGCTTCCTCTGCAGCCACCAAAAGTCTTGCACGCCGCTTCCGCACACGCCTCTCATACTCCTGTTCCTCATAGAACCTGAAAATACCAAAATTATTTTATTAGCCAAGTGTCTGCTTGCTCTTTTTTTTTAATATGAACCTTCAGGTATACTTCCGACAATACTGACGACATGCTATTTCAATGTACCAGGTATGTACCTGAAATATGAAATAATGAAAAAATAATAATCATCATAGTGACAATTTACCGGAAATATAGTCAGAAAATGTGACATTGGTGAGAAAAGTTTAAAGATGTATTTACATTTCATATTCTTCTTTGAACCATTCCCAACTTTAATATTTATTTTTCTTTAATTGGCTGATACCAGATCAAAGAGACACCACTATAATTATCCTGCTTCAGTTAACTTCTTTGCACAATTTTTTTTTTAATTGAATAGATTGAAAAGACTTGACTGAGCAAACAGAATTTAATTTGTCTATCAATGAAATGTTATGTGACAAAACATTCATCTACATGAATTTGTTTGGAAAAAATTAAAAATGATAGAATTATTAAGGCACAATTTTCACAAAGGATCTCGAGGCCAAATATTAGTTATAACTCAAACACTAAAATTTTTAGATCTTAATTTAAAGCAGCAGTGGCTCATTAAGTTCCTATACTGTGGAGGTTGTCAAGAACAGAAGCTCCAAGTGTGATTCATCTCGCAAACATGCATGCATCAAGTTATGCATCTCCGCTTGTTCTTGCTGTCCTTTGTTATCAACATTGCTATGAAAAAAAGTAAGATACCTCTATCAGCAAGGATCATAGCTCCATACACTTGTATTATCAATTATATACACTCCTTGACTCATGGTGTATATAAATAACTTCAACAATTACCTATCATTATGACTGGAGTCTCTCCTCCGAGCGGCCGCAGCCAGTATTGCCCGAGATCTGCCATGAGGCGTGGGATTGGTCACGCCATCGACATCATAAAACTTGAAATTGGATATCTTATTTGCCCTGCGTGACCCCGGGATGTGATCTAGATACTGGTTGTAGACTGGGAAATCACGGTAGTACTGCTCCAGGATCCACACCGCTGTTCTCTGAATGCTGAATTTAGAAAAGTATAATATTTTCATTCCTTTTAAATTTTCTATTGGCTCATTATGTCTTTCAAAACAATGTGCCGTTTCCCAATGAATACTAGTATTTCAAAAATTTACAAACTGGTAAGTCCTGCAACATTTCAAATTAACTAAAATCACAAACACCTGTCTAATTTCTGACCCTTTACATTTAAGACAAAATGACATTTTCAAAATTGTCTCAGAAAGATGAAATCACAAACAACCATCCAAAATCTCTTGACCCTCTCATTAACACTCAAGTAACCTTTTCAAAATGGTCTGAGACACCTACCTTAACTGTCCAATGGAATAATTTCGACTCTCTCCATCTGGTGACCTCACCACCTTGACCACATACATAGGCTNGGGGGGGGGAGGGGTACTATAACCTTATGACACTGGATCAGTTACATACAATACAACAGGCATTGATCCAAATTCACTAACATGGCAGTCTTTAAAATGCACCTGCTTGCATCATAATAAATCCAAATATTAAATTGTACACTTGATGTCATTAACAGTAAGATATTGTAACATACACACTGAGTGTATAATGCAACTAAAACCTCTCATATGGCAAGTGTATATTAACAGAGGTTCTACCTATACACAGAATGTGCATACAGAGGTGTATATCTCATAAATATTGTTTATACACAGCTTTTGCTCTTTTTGTTGCAAGTGGAAATCTTGTGCCATAGACTATTGTAACAGCTCTTAATCTGTCCAGTGTTCCACTCAGTCACATCTGAAAACTGCTGTGTTTCCTCTTCAGGTCTCTTAAGTAACCAAAATGCTTTATAATGGACAGAATGTGAATCTGGGTGGTGCCCACATATACCTCTCATACATAATACCACTTTCTTGCATGTAAAATATTTCTAATTTGCATGTTTAAATATAAAAGGCATTTCTCCCATTCCACAAAGTGCAGTATGCAGCTAAGTTTTCTTGGTGACGCCTGTGATATACTCTCCACCATAATATTTTCTCTCAACAGATGTTATCACTATAAATGACTGTGGCATGATCTCCAGCTCAATGTTTTGTTTTCTCAATAGATGTCAGCACAACATACAGCCCTTAGACAGATGTCTCAGAATTCAACCTAAGGACAAACTTGTTGTTCTTGGGATTAATCACCTCCTCAGTGATACTAAAATGGGGAATCTTGGTCACTTTACACAGAAGGGAAACGTCCCCTTGGCGTAAGTTAAACAGAGTTCCGTGCTCGGCAGCACGACTGAGTAGAGAGTCACATACAAGAACCCATGGCTGAGTGGGTTTATAGTCCTTGGGGTTGTGAACAACAGCCCCTTGTGTGAGATATTTCTCCATGAAAGCACGAGGGCTCATATCGTGGCTGATACAGTCTGCTAAATGCTCCAGTATTCCCTCCATTGAGTAGCGTGGCTGCTGTCGCGTGATGCGTAAGTACTTCTGTAGGGCACGCGCCATTGAGGGGAATATGGCTTGTGCTGCCTCTTGTGGATCCATAGGAATTGCTGGACCTGAAGTAAAAAAAAAAAAGAAGGAACTTGAAATGTAGCTGCTGACCTGATAATGTTTGATCAAACAAAGAATGGATATTATAAAAGTGCCTTAACAGAACAAAACTCTAATAGAAATAAGGTGTACTTGACACAACAGTTTGACTCACACAGCTAGTTACAAATCAACATGGAGATTTTTTTTTTCAAATTGGCTGTAAATCTAAATTTAAGCAATCCCATTTTCAGGCATTGTTATGTATATCTAAGTACCTGCTTCGTCCTGCATTCTCTTGATATGAGTAAATGCTTCCTCTGCAGCCACCAACAGTCTTGCACGCCGCTTCCGCACACGCCTCTCATACTCCTGTTCCTCATAGAACCTGAAAATACCAAAATTATTTTATTAGCCAAGTGTCTGCTTGCTCTTTTTTTTTAAAATATGAACCTTCAGGTATACATCCGACAATACTGACGACATGCTATTTCAATGTACCAGGTATGTACTTGAAATATGAAATAATGAAAAAATAATAATCATCATAGTGACAATTTACCGGAAAAAAAGTCAGAAAATGTGACAGTGATGAGAAAAGTTTAAAGATGTATTTACATTTCATATTCTTCTTTGAACCATTCCCAACCTTAATATTTATTTTTCTTTAATTGGCTGATACCAGATCAAAAAGACACCACTATAATTATCCTGCTTCAGTTAACTTCCTTGCACAATTTTTTTTTTAAATTGAATAGATTGAAAAGACTTGACTGAGCAAACAGAATTTAATTTGTCTATCAATGAAATGTTATGTCACAAAACATTCATCTACATGAATTTGTTTGGAAAAAATTAAAAATGATAGAATTATTAAGGCACAAGTTTCACAAAGGATCTCGAGGCCAAATATTAGTTATAACTCAAACACTAACATTTTTAGATCTAAATTTAAAGCAGCAGTGGCTCATTAAGTTCGATACCATGGAGGTTGTCAAGAACAGAAGCTCCAGGTGAGATGTATCTCACAAACATGCATGACATGCATGCATTAAGTTACACAACTCTCCTTGTTCTTGCTGTTCTTTGTTATCAACACTGCTATGAAAAAAAGTTAGATACCCCTATCAGCAAGGATCATAGCTCCATACACTTGTATTATAAATTATCTACACTCCTTGGCTCATGGTGTATCTCTTATATAAATAACTTCAACAATTACCTATCATTATGACTGGAGTCTCTCCTTCGAGCGGCCGCAGCCAGTATTGCCCGAGATCTGCCATGAGGCGTGGGATTGGTCACGCCATCGACATCATAAAACTTGAAATTGGATATCTTATTTGCCCTGCGTGACCCCGGGATGTGATCTAGATACTGGTTGTAGACTGGGAAATCACGGTAGTACTGCTCCAGGATCCACACCGCTGTCCTCTGAATGCTGAATTAAGAAAAGTATAACATTTTCATTCTTTTTAAATTTTCTATTGGTTCATTATGTCTTTCAAAACAATGTGCTGTTTCCCAATGAATACTAGTATTTTAAAAATTTACAAACTGGTAAGTCCTGCAACATTTCAAATTAACTAAAATCACAAACACCCTTCTAATTTGTGACCCTTTTAATCCAAGACCAAATGACGTTTTCAAAGCTGTCTCAGAAACATAAAAACTAAAATCACAAATGACTGTCCAAAATATCTTGACCCACTCATTTACAATCAAGTAACCTTTTCAAAATGGTGTGAGACACTTACCTTAACTGTCCAATGGAATAATTTCGACTCTCTCCGTCTGGTGACCTCACCACCTTGACCACATACATGGGTNAAAAAAAAATACTGACAAATGGTATTCACTAATTTTTCATAACCTTGCATCCGGTCCCTGAGCACAAAACCACATTTGGATCAACTAGGGAGACTCAGATCAATTTGTCTAAATTATTCCCCAAAGATAAATGCCCGTCTACAGAGCAACAACCAACACAAAAAATTAATGTCTCAATTTTCCATGCCAATTCTGATCTCAATGATACATTTTCCACTTAAATTCATGCATCGAATTTAAATTCTGAAGCTATACAGCATCTTAATTGAAAGACTGAATGAGTGAATACATATCAGCCACTAGGAAATAAAGTTACTGTCTGACTTTTGTATCCCATCAAAGCAAAACTGTCTTTTTATTCTTAGTGACTGATTAGTGATACTATGGGTAAAAAGACAACATTTGACCATATACAGCAATGCATATGTCTGATTCATCTTTTTGCTGTAATTTGTCCCAAAACATGACCGTAAATCAATAGATTTTTGCACAGGGAAAAACATTCAATAAATTTCATTCTTTATGAAGATGAAAGAATATCACAGTGTCCCTTTTGTGGCCTGATATCTTTCCTTTTTCATTTTGTTAAAATCTCAGAAGCTTCCAGAGAATACCTAGAATCCATCCCTAGTCAATATTTGGCCTCATCTTATTTTCAGCACAGTGTAAACATCCCAACTTGTATTAATCTGGAGATTAGTGTAATATGTGGAGTATTGATCAGTTCTAAGACAGCATTAGAGATAATTTGATGAAAGTGATTTTTATGAGGCACATTGAGACAGATGATATCAAACTATTAGTAATACCTTGAGATGCCATGGAAACATGCTGGAATTGATGGATACATTTGCTCTCTTAAAAGACAAATCATGTGCGCATGAATGAAAATACAACGGAGATTCCATGATCACTTGTCCTGCACATTTGGAGAGCGTAAAAGGAAATTTATAAAGGTCTATCTTATGCTGAAATTGGGTTTTCATAATCTTTTACTTAATAGTGGTAAAACAGCAAATCATTTCTAAAAAGACGGTAAACATTTTGGCTTTGAAGCATAACATTTGACTGACCAGAATTATTTATGTGGCACCCACACATATAAAACATATCCATCCTCATCCTACCTCTGATTTCAATAATCTTTGTTGATCAATTTTATCCACTGGTTGGCAAGGTAAACCGACACTCTCCAGTCAGTCCAAGTTAGTCCCCTGTGTGAACTGAGCCATGACTGAGAATATTGATCCTCATCTAAGCTTACCTGGATGTTTAATCAGTAATTAAGCCTTAGGGGTTTGTCGTCCAAATGGATGGGCTTCCCTTTGTACTGTTAATTGGAATCTCTACTTGTACAATGTTTTATATTTGCTAACAAACTGACAATCAGTCTAAGAGTACACAGAGAAATGAAATTTACACATCTAACAATGTGTGAAGTTTTTCTAGATTGAACAAAGAGAGAAGGATGTTTTAGTCTGTTTGAAAATTGAAGTCCTGTGGTAGACAGCCAATTCATGCATTACATAATACTTTTTTAATACCAAGTATCATAAAATACTTTGATATTTCAAATAAAAAATAACATTTGTGTACATTTACTACTGAGATAAAATGCACTGAGAGTCTTAATGTGGCCTCTGGCTTTTTTGACTTCACCTGCATTAACTGCTTTGTTAACAGTACATCAAAGGCTTCCCTAGCAGGTAAGTCTATGGTACAAGCAGATCACAGAGAAATTCATCCACACAGCTATCTAAAATATGTGCACTACAAGACAATACATTGATACGAGGGTTAAATCAAGGTGCTTTGTATTGAAAAATATATATAAAACCTACATGTGACCTGTGCAACTTGTTCTTGCAAAAGGAAAAGTATATCTACATCCAAGGGCAAGGCACTGGCATACTACATAGTACATAGTACAAAAGTAGTTGTTCTCTCTATTTCAGTTAAGCATGCATATCACTGCAATACAATAACCAAATCTGAGGCGAAGTGGGAAGGGAGGAAAGAGAGGTAGAATGATAGACAGCAACTTCCTCGTTTATTTAGCAAATTTTTATGCAAAGGGGAATGGCGGCAAACATCATTTTCCATCTTTTAATCCCGCCAAATCCTAAATAATCCACCACACTGCAGCAGTATGGATGCCTTTAATAGTTTCACTCTGAACTGAACTGTATATTGTAATCAGCTGTAGCCAGGTTTTACATACCCTTGCTTTTGCTTGTATGAGTGCCACCTATTTTTTAATCTAAATCAAAATCAGAAAAGCTGTTGAGAAAATGCTGTAAGAACCTTTCAAAATGCTTTTTCCCCTGCAAATAATTTAGTTGGAAACCAAGTCGATTAGTCACTGAGTGTGCCCGATAATGTGGCATTAACATTTCAGCGTAGCTTAGCACAATCCAAAGATTAACAACCTTTCTCTCTTTAAACAGTATATTAACAGTCCTTATTTATGCCTGGTGCACAGAGACAAAGATTAGGATTTGTTCAAATTAGATAATATTATCACTATTGGAACATAATAAGAAAATGTATTACTTGGCAATGTTGAAAAACAATAAAGATAAAGAGAATCCAATTTGATTTATTTCAATGATAAATTGATTAATTCAGTTCTCACAAATTCCAAACACTACAAAAATTCAAATATCATACAAATATTTGATCAAGATTTTAACCTTTTTAGTTATTCTGAAGGAGGTTCTTTCTTACAAACACACAAATGACAGTTATTTTCAATCATCTTTTTAGGCAAAACTAACAAATTAAACGTTTTGGCAAAGGGCAGTTATAAATATCAGTTTTGTTTGAACTTGGAGAAGTCATCGTACACAGTGATTGAGATTCTGTATGATGCTTCCCGCATAAATTGCATTCTTTCATAATGTTGATATTGTACACAAACACCCATCAAAGCAAGCTTAATATTAGCATGACCCACATGAGTCACCCCTATGTTAAAACCTAAGGTATTGTTTTCATATATGGACTTCACTAATAATCAATTCTAAATCAAGCTTAGGCACAAAGATGACAAATACAATGATCAATTTGTATAGCCACAGTTCCAGATGAATTCTCTGTTTTCTACAAATCATGCTTCTCTCATTGGATTAAAAACTTTTACTTAATTTTTTATAAAATGCCAAAACAAACAAATTCCAGATATAAATTTATACAGACATAAAAATCTTGCATGCACTGAACCTAAACCTTTTCCTACATGAGATAAACCAAAATTCCTAAGAACATTCAGCATAACCGCAAAACCTCAACTAAAAAGAAAATTTTCAGTAAGAATTGCCGAGTGTACATGGCTAGAGGGACAGTGACTTTAATGACCACCCCTGGCTGTCCTTGCACCTGGCACTTTACTTGAAACAATTTTGAGGACATAAATGACAAATTTTATGATTAAATAAAATATTTCAGCTTTGAAATGTATTTTTGATAGACACTTAGTTTTTTCATCTACTTTGTTCTCCAAAAAGCCCTGGAGGTGTGATATATTGCGTTCAGACATGTTTTAAATTAGATTGCTTCACTGCAAAAATGTTATCAAATTTCCAGGTTATTCACCAAAAATTTCAATTCACCCAAATGTAGACATCTTTCTAATAAGTTCACAGGTTTCTCTATGGACTAACTTACACTTAAATATTTCTCACAGTGCCTCATGCAGACAACCTAACTCTGGTAAATACATTTTATTTTGGCTTAGAGTTTTTAAACCCAAACTGGTTCACATACAAGTGGGTGTATGAATGCACAGGTCTTTTTTTTTTTTTGTATTTCCAACAGGCTAGCCAAGAGGTGTGTTGGCGTGTACTGTACACATATTGGGACATTTAACCTGTGACTGTTACAAAGCAGTCCCATTTTAATTTGTACAAATTATGACTTGAAGTTCTATTTGTTTATTCCAGCCTTCAGGTGAACTGTGGTTTCTCAATTCAGCCCTTTGTATTTCTAAATACTTCTCAACATTTTCTAACCTGAAGATGAAACTCTACGGTTATCTAAGGGTCAGTTGATATTGAACCATGAGAAAACTGCTTAAGAAACATGATATAAAATGTGAAAGTCTTTCCCACTATGGCAATGTGACCAATATATACATATATATATATAAAAAGACAGGTTTCCTCAACAACAATAGCACTTGACCTAAGTTAAACTGTGGACTCAAAGCAAACTACACGTTACAGGTTACAAGAAATGACAACCCAGACATCATTGGCCCAGCATTGGTAAGCCAACTACCCCCATGTAGGGCCAGTATGGGTCCCTAACCCAACCACAGTCAGTGGGCCAATGCCAAGCTAATGTTGGATTTCTGACAGTTCTAAGAACTCAATGCTTGGCCAACTGTAGGAAAGCCACTGCCAACCTGCTGCCAACTGTTCCAATGTCTGGCCAATAATAGTGTGCTGTTTAGGAAACTGGTGTGCAAGTAACCAAGACTTGCATAATCAAAAAAAAATACATCCACTTCATCTTCCCAATACCCTTACCAATCTTGTTTATATCACAGTTTTTTTTTTTTCATTTTCCACTCTAAATGCCACCTGGTGTTAATTCATTATGACACATGGAAGCACATGTTCATGAAAGGCTACAGTCCCACCTATTAAATCTAGACAGTGAGATATATGGGCTCTTGAATCTCTCACTAGGTTGATGAAGTCTTAAATATGTTGAAGCCTTACTATTCTGTGTGATCATAAGCAGTAGATGCAACAAGACTAAACGAACATTGTTCATACTCCTCTGAATATTCTCTCTCTCATTAAAATTCATCACAAAATTATCCTCCCCCCCCCCAAAAAAAAAACCCAATACATACATTAAAATTTTTATTCTGTTTGATAATTGGTATATTTCTTGTCGCAACATGATCATCGGAGATTGCTCGCATGCAGTCACTGAGTGCCAACAAAGTTGAACTACTGAGCTCTCTCCATCATGATGTCCGTGGAG